AATTTGTATTTGAATCATAAAAAATGTGATAGAGAGAAAAATAGTGAAAATTTAAAAATTTAATATACACAAATAATTTAAAAATATGATAGAGATAATAAATTAATTATTACACTTTAAATTTATTGAATTAAATATAATAAATAAATTTAGGTGTAAAAATTAAATAACAAATATAGATATTGGTCTTATAAATTAAATTTTTAAAATCTGTATTTATCAATAAATATTAACAAATTATTGTTACAAATCATTAATATTTTGTATTATAATTGGTTTATGTATATATTTTGTAATTGTACTATTATGATTGTAATTAAAATTTATCTTTACATGGTATTTTAATTTTTGTTGATTATTTGTGTAAATAAATTAAAAATTTATTTATTTTAATGCTTTACGTTTGTATTAAGATTTTTGTTAATTATTTTATTCTTAAAAATATTGAAATAACACATATACATTTATTTTTAGATGGCTTTATCTTCAAGTCAAAGGAGAGTAATTTATCTTGAATCAGAGGATCTTTCATTATTGTGATTCTAGAGCATTCACGTATCTAAAAAAATTGAGATGGTCGAGGTCATTTTATTTTGAAAGTTAGGAAAAGGCAATTTATTCTAGCAGGTTTGAAAGGTGTTTTAGTAAAGATCCTTCTTCATTTAGAACTTGCAGGATTTTTTGAAATTGCTCACACATGTCAGTTCCCACTAGACCTTCTGTAGTGGAGAGATAGAGACTGTAACACCTTAATTTTACTTTCCAAAATAATGAATTTCACAAAAATAGGGAGAATAAACTTTTTCATTCAAATAAAATCCTCATTAAAATGTTTCAAATTTAAGGAAAGGGGTTACAAAATTCATATCAAATCACTGCTACACGATTAATTCAAATACATTAATTTCAAAATGATATCATAAGTCCTATAGCAGTTCCATCCACCCCTTCACTGAGACCGGTGCAGATCGTATTGATTACCTGAAAAATAAATGTAAGGGTGAGTACTCTACACTACTCATTACACAAACAAACACAGAGTCTCACCCTGCGCATATTTTACATTATTTCTAATAAAATTCATATAAATATATTCACAGGCAGCATTACCCCTCAATTCATTTTTTTAAATCAACTCTAATGCACTCACGGCACCAAATAGTTTGCACACACGTAATTATCAAACAATAATCTCGTGCATTCACTGCATGTCAGCCACGCTCACTATGGCACTATGATCACAGATTTTCACTATAGATGGTCACAGGTTACCCCTGCCTCACGGATACCATGTGGGCAGTCACAGGTCGCTTAGCAAAGGTAGTGGTCAAAGGTTTAGTCAAGAAGAGAGTGTGTGACCCGTTGTGCACCCACGCTCACTGTTGGTGTCACTACCACTCTCTCTTTCCCAAGGTATTTCTACCGTTCTCATCTTCCACACCCCCAGTATATCGTTGAACCATTCATAGCACAATACACTGCACAAAGCCCACAGTCATTTATTTTACACGGCTCTTAGGCCCACATTTCTTCGCAATAATTGTTCTCAATATATGGCATAAGAGTGCCCACATGCATTTACAACATAATTCATTTCAACCACACACACAATATTCACCATTGTACAAGGCTCTCGGCCCACATTTATTCACATTGCACGACACACATATTGCTCTTATTTACTCACACAATATTTTCAACATAGTTCACATTTACATTCCTCATTCATCAAGTATTAGCATATTCACACCACATAATCATCCATCATGGGTTTCCACATGCTATCACACCTCACAACACAGCAAATTCCATCAAATACATATTTTCTACCCTCTATCTCAACTACATTGCAATATTCATCAAAATACACAACAATCAAACCCAAAGAGATAGGGTAGAGTCTCCCCTTACCTTGGATTGAAGACCCACACTCGATTTAACCACGGAAGTGCTCCCCACACAGATTTTGGCCTAAATACATGGAAGAACTCCATGAGAATCCAAGGAAACCGAGAAATAGAGAAAGGGGATGAAAAACGAAAACCTTAACCATTAAAACTCACCTCCAAGCGTTACCAACACGAATCCAACCTTCAATCAAGCTCCTAAATGGCTTTGGAGGTAATTTAATCGGTGGGATAGGGTTTCAGGTTGAGAGAATCGAAGAAATTTCGAAGGAAAGATGAGAAATAACCTTTCTCGAACCCTAACCCCTTTTAAATCCTCTCTGGTCGCTATACTCCCGCTACAGCAAGATATTCTCCCCTCGCTGCAGCAACTCCCTCCCTCGCTATAGCGAAAAACTCAGACAAAACAACACTCTGGTTTCTGCAGAATATCGCTACAGTGAGACTGCACTCAGAAATGTAATCTAAATTGTGGCTTTGTTGCTATAGCGAGAGACCTCTCGCTACAGCGACAAGGCAACAGTTTCATCCTTCTCTTTCTAGTGCCTTCTTGCTACAACGAGAAAGATATAGTTCCATGCCTCACACCTAGGGCCCTCTTGGGAAGTTAATTAAACGATATTATAAAATCTGGGGCGTTACAGAAACTTCAGACATATACATTTCACTTGTCTCTTGGGAAGTGTACGATTACAGGACATTTCTATGCTGTTAGGGTTACAAATTTGATGAAAGGTCTATAATAACACCCATTGAAAGTAATTGTGCTGATATGGTTTAGAAAAACCTAAGGATTTGACCAGAATGTGATATATCTCGGATCTATGATGACCTCGACTCTGACGACATAGCGATGATAGAAGGATGACATAGGTATGACTAGTATATCTTGTTCGTAGGACGGATAGACTGCTCTTTAGGACTTGTTTTATTTTGAATCTTGTAAATGTTGGAAAAATAGTCTTAATGTATTTTAATGAATATTTTGTAAATGTTAATATCTTGTATATTATGAGAACGATGTATGTTTATGTTATTTTGATGTATTTTTTCTCAAAATTTATTAATAATTATTGTTTTATTATTCAAAGTTGTCATACGTTTGAATAAATTCACATAATACGTTATGATTTCATTTGATATATTTAATCGGTATTAAATTTAATTAAATTTTTATATTATTTCGAATTCTATTTCTTATTAAGTTAAATAAAAATAAGGATGTTACAGGAAGGACTTTTCTTATTGTAGATATAAATTTAATATGCTTAGTTGTGAGGAAGTATTAATTTTTTGTATAATAATTATCTTCATATTTAACTTATTTAATTTTTTATAAAAATAACCTTAAACTTTGTTGATTACTTAAGATTATTTAGTAACCATATACTATTGATTTGATTATTTTATTGCCACCTATGTGTCATGAGAGAATGAATTTGTGGAGGGTTGTAATGCACCTACTATGTTTCAAAGCGTGTGAGTGACACTAACTAAATTGAGTCATGCACCAATTTGGTATGATGTCTATAAGATATTAAGCATAATCATGTCTTTGTTGTTACGTGCACACGAATAATTGCCAAAAATAAAAGCTAGTGGAAGGACACAATTATTCCCATCTTGTGTGTATGACAATACTTACAATAAAGTTCCATTTACCTGAATAACTAGTTTGCAAAAGTTGAAAGTTTTGTTACATTAATTAAAACACCAAAACAATTGTTCAAAAACTCTAAATTTGTTATCCACTAAATGCCCAACAATATACTCTTTTATTTCAATCTTATAAAGAAAGCCAATAACATGGAATTGCATGTACTCTAACCATCTTGGCAATGTAGCATACGATTAATCTCAACCAGCAAAAATATTTACAATCACCTTTTGTTTTGTCTTCCAAGTCGTTTTATATGAAATTTTATATTCAAATTGAGTGGTCATCCTTTCTTGAATTAGACTTATAGGCCATGGTAGTTCAAGATTAACCGTACTTACACAAAAAACAACATATAACATCTATTCTCATAAGGCTTTGTCAAATTTTTTTTTTTAAAAGTATTTTATTTATTTATATATTTACCAATAATGCATAAACAAATCAAATCTAAATCAAGTATAGTATGATCTTGAGATGTTGTAGGATTGAGACATGTATGTTTACCTCCACACCTCATTATTATAGTTCAAACACTTCACATGCAACTTTATTAGTATTGACTCAACAACAAAATAACTTTGATGTATTTTTATTGCATATTGTTTTAAGACATTTTTAACTTCATCTTTTGAGTCAAATAATAAACCAACATATAATAAATCTCTTTGAACTCAAGAAATGGCTATAACCTTCTTCTATTTCTTGATCTAGGTATTCCTAATTAATGTACTTGTAGTGTGGACTTAAATTTCAAATGACAATTTCAACCTCACTTGCATTTAAACTTTATCCATATTTATCATCACTGAAAATTACTATATTAATTAATATACAAATAATTAACAACATTTCCAAGACTTTGTTATAGTAAATTTAAATTTGAATCAAAATTATCGTCTAAATCTGTATCAGACGAGGTGTCTAATAAAATAAGTCTTTCATCAACATCATCTCTATCAATGTCTTCAGTTTCATCTCAAGATCCTTTAAATTACAATTAGTTAATAATTATATGTGGTCACTAAAAGTAAACCATAAAATATTATACTAAACGTATTTATACCTTGTGTAATTTCTATATTCACAATTTTTATAATATTATACAGTAATATTTATAAATTTAAGTGTAACATATCTTATCTAATTCTTAAACTCTTATCAAATGTAATATCTGAATATAATTCAATAACTCTTATAATACTTTATTATTATACGTAATAATCATATGATTAACATCTTCATTGTTATATATATATATATATATATATATATATATATATATATAATGGACTGAATTGTTTATCAGTCCAATCAACCAAAAAAATGTGAAATTAATATTAAAATTATTCAGCTGTTCCCTTTCCTCTCCTCTTCGTTGAAATTTCTCAGCTCTCCGCCCTTCATTTGGTCCCCTTCTCTCCCTCCGTCCTTTCAAATTTATCCGTTCCTTGAATCGGAACCAAAGAGTGCGCGTTTATGGTCCGCCAGTTTACCGCATCACAATGGGGATCATTCTTTAAACGGCTTGTCCCGAAAAATCACGACAACAACAACGAACAAATGATCTGCGAGGTATCTGCATAGCTACTTTCTGGTTGATTTCGTTTGTCGTCAAGTTCTTACTTGGTTAGTCGGTTGACTCGAAATTAAATTAATTCATAATTAGTATTCTGTATTTTCACAACTACTCGAAAAGTCACTCAAATGTAATTTGTTATTTCACTGAAAGGGTTGATTTAAATCTAGAGTCTGTTCTGCCGTTTAAACGACAAATCTCTTTCAATGTTACCTCACTTACCTGTATTTTCAGCAAATGGATCAAGAAAGGCGAAACAGTCTTTAAATGTTTTAACTCGATTGGGCTGGGCAATATTATTGGTTTGCAGTTCTGGTTCTGGATCTGATTTTCTATGTTTGAAAATATTTGCTTCGGAGTGTCATAGGCTGCTGGTATAGCTTCTTATCCAGTTACAGTCCATTCCAAATTCAGCTTTTGGCCTCTGGGTTACTTTTATTTGTCCGTGGTCATTTTAGCCATGTCATTTTGGCTTTTTAAATTCAGCTTAACTAATACCTGAATTAAAGTTATAACTGTTGAATACCTTTTGGATCAGCAAGGAAGGTTCGTCAACATCATCACTCACTGTCCTTTCTTCTCTATGTATTAATGTCATATCTTTAGAAAATGCACATAGACTTGTTTCTTTTGATTCCAGCAGCTCTGTTAATTGCTAAACCATGCATTAAAAGTGAAAGAGAGAGAGAATTGATTCTACGATAAACTTGCTACAGGAAAAATGGTGCCAATAAAAGCTTGACAAGTATAATGGGCTTGGTGGCAATCACATGGCCAAATTATATAAGAAAGCGTCTTCCACTAACAATAAGGTTTCTTCATACCATGAAAGGTCACCAGTTAGGACAAATTTTACTATCTCCTCCTCTTCCATCTCTGGATCTTCCTGACATCTGGAATCCTAATTCTTCATGTCAGAGTATTCCGACAACACATAGTAGCTGTAAGTATTTTATTCCTTTGGTTTGACTATGCTGTTATTTATATTTGTCTGGTTCTTAAATTCTATCATTTTTTATGTTTTTATGCTGTATAAGGTCAATTCTATTTGTTCAACTTTAGTTTTTACTTAATTGAGCAAAAGCTGGGTTTGCAGTCGTTTGTAGACTCCTCCAGACAATATATAACTTCTAATTCTCTTCCAATGTTTAACAGTCTTGTCATTCATCATCCCTTCGTCAAAGTATCAACAGATCAAGGGGGTCTATGTTTGATTCCATGGTCCATTCAATTTAATCACTCATCAGTGTCTAATAACCATTTCTTCAATGAATGTCAATAGCTAGAAGTTATGTTATTGAAATCCTTGAAGGAAATGAGAACAAAATAAACCTCATGGTGGCTGAAGGTATGGTTTTGCACGAGTCACATGCTTAAGAATACAATGACTTCTATCGGATTAATTTATTTATCCAATATCACATGCGAACAAACTATAAGGCTCTGTATGTTAGCACCAAATTAGCTGCTTGGGTACTCCCTTGATATTTTTTTTATATCAGTGGTGACTCCCTTGATTGATGGAGATAATAGGATAGGAAATGATAAAATATGGGAGTTGGATAAGAACAAGATAGGATATGTGCAGGAATAGACAATTATCTATTTCACGATTGATTCATAATAAATTAACAGATTAGCTACATTGTCTTCTGTCCTGTTTGTTTCTAACCCAGCCTCCCTCCCCATGAGATAAAATTTACAATAAAGAGTAGGATAAGGACGTAAGATAAACTTATCATATCCTATTAGTTTAACAAATGTAAAAGATGAGATAAGATAGGAAAATATATTCTATTCTATTCTTTTTTCTTGTTCACCAAAAGAACCTTAATTGTGTAGCACTACACAATTTCATTCAAACTCTTCTGCTTCTATACATATAAATAGTTTGTTAAAATGTTTTATATACAATTCATTCTGAATTTCCTTCTTTCCATTTTATTCCATAAGATACTGTATTGAAATTGATGTTTGCCTCAGTTAAAGAACAGACTGCTGTAGTTCTTGATGGAAAGTTGATATCAATGGAAATCAGATCTAAAATAGCTACTAAGGTAAGGCAAATGAAGAAATGCCTAGGAAAGGTTCCTGGATTAGCGGTAATTTTGGTGGGCCAGAGAAGGGATTCTCAAATTTATGTTCGTAACAAGATAATGGCATGTGAAGAAGTTGGAATCAAGTCTTTGGTGACTGAATTACCTGCTGATTGTGCAGAAACGGATGTTCAAAATGCTGTCATGAAATTTAACAAGGATCCATCCGTCCACGGTATTCTTGTGCAACTTCCTCTACCACAAGTAATTTCTGAATCTGATTTTTTACAATAACTTGGACGGACTTTAGTATCTGTTGAGCTTTTATTCAAGAAAAGGGGTACTACCACAGACTTTTCAAAGCTTCCAGTGAAATGCTAAAATTAAAAAATTATTCGTTTCCTACACTTTTCTCCTCACACTTGTTTAAGCAGCTTTGGTTCATGCATACCATTTCTTACATGTCAGGAATATGGGGCTAATGCATTCTGTTTTTTCAAACCTTTAATTGTCCACGAAAGGATCAAGAAAACTAGCATTCATAAAGACTTCGACCAGATGTTTCTGGTGTGATTTCAGGAGTATCAACTGCAATGAAGAGGATGGTAAATCCATTCACCATGATATGGTCTGCAAAAGGGCAAGTAGCATTGATATATTGGTTCAAATCCAATTCTTGAGCACGTTACTTAGCAGTCAAACTGTCCTTGAGCACATCAATATTGTAAAATCATCTTTTCTGCATTAATTCATTTTGGTTTCTTCTGTTTTCTCTCAAATTCTTTCATGTTTACAAATTTTGACACTCACTAACAAAACAATTACATTCTCAAAATACAACAAACACCCCTTACATGAATCAGCAACACACAGCTTTATCACATGCAATGAGACTTCTCATGGTATGATCTTTGGAAACAGAAGTTGATGCTATCATGAAAAGGAACGAGGAATAACATTATAATTTCATCAATAGCATAACCATTTGGTGTACACGAGTTTGATGCCATCAATAAAAAAGTTTTGTTAATCTAAATTTGGTTGTTTGGAGAAGTAATGTGAAGGTGAAATATTCTTCTGTCACTGTTTTCTGAATAACTAGTTGTTCACATGGCTACTGTACATTTATTGCTAATAGTTGAGCAATTGAGGATTAGCTCACATTCAGAAATAAATGATTTAGTGTGTTTGACTTATTGCAACCTTTGCGACAGCATCTAGATGAGGAAAAAGTTCTTGACGCTGTATCCCTGGAAAAAGATGTGGATGGTTTTCATCCTCTTAATATGGGGAATCTTGCCATGAGAGGAAGGGAACCACTGTTTATTCCGTGTACTCCGAAGGGTTGCATCGAGTTATTGATCAGATATGGAGTTGAGATTATGGGGAAGAAAGCCGTAGTGATTGGAAGAAGCAATATTGTTGGGTTGCCGGCATCCTTGTTATTGCAGGTAAACAATTTTTTCAGTTAGAAGCCTGAAATCACCTATCTACTCCCCCCCCCCCCCCCCCTTCTCTCCCCTTCTGCATTAATTTGCAATATCATTATGTTGGCAGAGACACCATGCGACAGTCACTGTCGTACATGCCTTCACAGAGAACCCTCAACATATCACCTCAGAAGCTGATATTGTAGTTTCAGCTGCTGGAGTGCCTAAATTGGTCCGTGGGAACTGGATAAAACCCGGTGCAACTGTGATAGATGTTGGAACAACACCGGTTGAGGTGAGTTTCAGGTTACAACAGAAGATAGCTTTTCTTAATTTCCTTGCTACATATCAACTAACCAAGTATAAGGATGAAGTGTTGCAGGATCTTAGCTGCGAGGATGGTTATCGTCTCACAGGTGACGTGTGCTATGAAGAAGCCATAAAGGTGGCATCCGTCATCACTCCTGTGCCTGGTGGGGTTGGGCCAATGACCGTTGCTATGCTACTATGTAACACATTAGATTCTGCAAAACGCATGCTCAATTTTACGTGACCTCTGCCCTATTTTGATGCTACAATACTTCACTCGGTCATTCTTTATGCGAATTGTGTTGAGAAACGAGATAAATTTCAAGTAATGCGTACTATGGTCGATGGTGTAACTTCTTCCATGTGAATTTTATTTTAAGCCTTGGGTTGTACTATTGCAAGATAGATGTTTTATATTTTAGGCAAATTAATTTTCCTGCTTCACTTCTACGGATATCGATAAAGGTTAGTCAGTGCTGCTTTGGGTGCTCAAAGGTATAATGGAATTTTCTTGTGCTCTTTTTTTCCCTCGGCTCAATGCCATGTCATTTAAATATGATTTAGTTCTTGCTGAACAAACTAAATCAGGTAGGTAACTGATTCTAATCTGCACGACAACTTGAAACAAGAGCCATTGTAACAGATTCTTACCTATCACCTGTATGGTTTTCCACAACAATTATACCAGCGACAATACGCACGATTACTTTTTGTCACAGCTTGCTAAAGGAGCCATGCGTAACTGATAAATTTTTTTTACTAAAGATTAATTTTTTATCCAGTTCTTTGTGTCTTCCTTTAACAAATAACTAGGGCGGGGATTTTGACATGAGTAATTAGAACATGTGCCTTTGATAAGAATAAAATTACTAGCAAATCAATCAGCTATCCTGCCTCATCCCAAAGGCCTTTAGCACTCTTGCTTCAGTCAGACTGCGCTGATTCAGTGACAGGAGGTATACAATCTATCTTGTACCGTAGAACCTACAATCCAAATATATTAATGCACATCAGAAAATGTACCATTTTCCATCGCGCTTTGTCATATCCTCTTGTCTTCCTAAATAATCTTTCAACATAATTCATAAAATAAGCATTAAATGAGAGACGTGCATGCATTTATTATCTTGAAAGCATAAAACATTTAATAATACCTTTTCTATTTAGCAATTAGGAAGATTAGTAGGAATAAAAGGTAGGATTTAAAGTTATTGTTTTTAGTACATGGTCAATGACCCAAAGCAAACGTGAGACATGACTATTGGCTGATCAAATACTTTCATAGGAAGAAATGAGTGAAGAAAACAAAATAGTCTGTAGCTCACTTAATCAGTCAACATGCCTACGTAATACCTTTCTGAAAAAGGTTGAATATGTGTTGTCCCAGATCAGTTTATAGCTTCCAGCCATTAACGTGCAGAAGTTCCCCTAACAGTATAGATACAAAATGTAAGATGAATATTTACATATCAAATGCCTAGTAGAAGCTGCAATAAACGACACTCACTTGGTCAGATTCGTAACGGCGGTAAGGTAACATCAGCTATGTTATAACCAATCAGCCACCATAAAAATGACAATTGGCAAAACAGATATATCAGGAAAGAGAGCAAAACACAAAACAGAACAGAAAAATAGTGAAAAAGGCTGGGTGAGGGCCAAACAAATTGAAGTTGAGAATGGCTGTTGCAGAGGAACATGAGAAATGCTTCTGAAGAAACCATTTGAGAATGTGATACAGATAATAAAAAACGAAATGGCATTCAAACTTACAGTTTTTTCCCCAGTAGGACTTGCAAACTCCAAACTAAATCCAATATCCTACAATAACCAAAATAATGTTCACTACAGAGATGCCTATGGAAAAGTATCATGACATTTTGAAATAAAGGCAAAGCAACATAGCAGTAATACCATATTTATCTTGCCTTGTACCAGTGAAAAATCCCATGCAATGTATGAGTTCACAGAGTCAACAGAGAGTAAAACCTGAGGCGAAAAAATGAAACTTTAACATATAATATAAAACAACACAAAGCAAACTTTTTATCAAGTAATAACAAGTTAACTAAGTCGGAGTTTCATTCAATAGGAAATCTAAAATGAGATAACAGTAACACTAAATTATGCACATTTTAGTGCCTGGATCTAAAATGACAAAGGGATTAAAATAATTTAGTAATTTTGAAAACTAAATTGACTGTTACTAATAATTTTAAGGACTATTTATTGGAGAGACCCATCTATTGGATTCACTCCAATCAATCTAACCTCTTCCTAAAGCATCATCATCAAAAGTTGCCAAACCATGGATTACCATGTGGACCCTCACTGGAAAAGCTTTTTCTAGAGCTTGTAGGCCGCACACAGCCATACAGGTGTTATCTTTCTTCTATCCATTACTTCTACATGATTTTGGATATCATCTTTGTCGAGAATACTCCCTACTTCACCTCTCCTGTGGTGCCAGATTTGTGTCAGGTTTTGCATATTCCTTGTCTTACTCCACGCACTATCTGTCAATTTCTGGTCCTCTCATTACCCTTATCACCATCAATGTCTTCCACAGGAAGAGGGACAGCATGCCAAAGGTTAAGCGACTCATCTCCTATCTCAGTCTTCACCTATTTTAGATATTTTGGAAGAAACCAAAATGGTAGACTACAAGTAGAGTGACATTCCTCTGGATTTGAATGTTAAGCTCTACCTAATCAAGGGTAGCCTATCCAGATCCAAGGCAGTACCTAAGATTGGTTGGGAGGTATGATCAGGCCAAATATTTCATCTGTTGTGTAGCTAGACAGGTTCTCAATTCTCCTACTGATTGTCATTGGGAAACTACGGTTAGAATTTCGAGTTAAACTAAGAGGATCCCTTGGCAGCGGTCTAGTTTATGCAAATTGAGGTCACTATAATATTGTAGTGTACAGAGATGCAGATTGGGTATGTTGCCCAAGTGACAAATGATCAACTTAGGTAATCTCATTTCATGAACAGATAGAGAGCAGAATATTAGTAAACAAATCTCTCTTTCTTTTCTAAGGCAATTTCTAGATTATTTTTCTGTTGCAATTTTTGGATTATTATATAATGATCTTTTAACTTTCCATATATATATATATATAGAAATAAAAAGAGATGGACTAGAAATGACATCTCTGATCTTAATTTTGGATTTTACTTTTATATTTGAGCATTTGTATGTGTTAATATAAAATACTTTTTGTATACATAATCTTGGAATAGTGTCCATCCCACTACAGTCTTCCAGGGTTGGATCCATGCTGCTATTTGGGATTAAGAACTATGCATACCCATGCCTTTCCAAAATTTGGGTTCCCATATTTTGAAAAGGAGGGCCAGATGCAAAAAGAAAATAAACACAATGAAATCAAAACAAAGACAAAGTCTATAAATACCGCAAGCCTTGTCAATATACCTCATATGTTTTCCCAGCTGGAACACTTATCTCTTTGTAGTCATCATTTTGCCTGACATGGAAGAACTTAAAAAATGACTTGAAAGTAGACAAAATCATAAAGAAAGCAAGATTTGATATTTACCTGGTTTCCAATGCACCAGCAACCTCTGCTGAAATGAAGAAAGGCGAATTTGCAAAGACCTCACTGATCAAAATAACTAGCAGGTTATTCAACAAGAATTAGAGGACTAGCAGTAGGAGTGAGAACAAAAGCAGATTTCATATTGCAAACTCTGAACAACCAGTTCAACCTAAAAGCTTATGTTGATGAGAGGAGGCACTTGCAAAGCAGAATATAGAGAAATGGGAATAGTAACATGTGAACATGTATGGCTAAGACAGTTGCTGATAGAGTTGCACATGGTAGGACATTTATGTGATGTGTCTTTAGGCATTTACTTAGGAAGTTATGAATCTGAATTATTAGTGTTTGTGTAGTATTTATTTAGACAGTTATTGATTTGTGTGTCAGATATTGTCTGGTTTTCCATATGTATCTGGCATGACAGTTTCTGTAATCAGTAGGTAATTGGTAGTGTTTTTGAGAGAGAAAAACTCTCCGTTAGGGTTTGGGCCTATGTTTTATGTATCGAGAGAGGTCTGCGAAGGACTTTATTGTGTTCTTCCTTTGCCATTTTGATAGGTTCTCAGATTATGTAAAACAAAATAAAAAGAATCTGAACAAAAAGATAGAGAATTGAGAAAGGAAGGATTCTTTTATTCAGATGAATAGAAAAGACACTCAGGAGGCAGGATCCTCTTAGCAAGGGAAAATCCCCTTATCACAGAGAATCACTCAGTTTGCATTATTTTCTTTCCTCCCCCTTTCCTTTAGAATTTTCCCCTATAACTCCAAAAAGAAGCTCTTGTAACTGACTCATTAACCACATATTAACTCCAAATAAAACCAATTGTAACTGCTGCAGACATTTTAAACTCCTAATATAACTCTTGTAACTTAATAATAACATATTAACCACCTATTATTACTGTTTTCCTCCTAGAATAAACCCTCAGTCTCTGCTCCACCAAAAGTTGAACCACTTCCTTCACTATCCCCATTAGGTTGTTCATTTGTAGGCTCATCCTCCAATTCAATATCTTGTTTCTGCATCCACTTTCCCAGAAGTTTCTTGATTTCTTTCCATCCCATTGACACTTCTCTAGATCTCTGAAAGTTGAGTGCCATGATCGCTGGTCACTTTCTTTAAGAACTTCACTGAACTTTCCAATACTCTGATTCTTGACTTCATTTTGGCCAATCAATGATCCGGTCAGACCAAATTGATAAGTTCTCAGTTTATGTAAAACAAAATAATAAGAATCTGAACAAAAAGAAAGATAGAGAATTGAGAAAGAAAGGATTCTTTTATTCAGATGAATGGAAAAGACACTCAAGAGGCATAATCCTCTAAGGTAAAATCCCCTTATCACTGACTCACTCAGTTTATTTATTTTCTCTCCTCCTGCTTTTCTTTACAACTTTACCCAATTTAACTCCAAAAAGAACCTCTTGTACTGACTTATTAACCACATATTAACTCCAAATAAAACCATTGTAACTGCTGCAGACATTTTAAACTCCTAATAAAGCTATCATACCTTGTAACAAATTAACCACCTATTATTACTCTTCATTCCTCCTAGAATAAACCCTCCAAACCTTATTCTTCTCATTAATTATTGGCATGGGGTCATATCTAACACATCTGGTATCAACATTATTCTCACATCCATTGGTGAAGCCACTCATCCACACCATTTGAATTTGTACTGGGTAGATCTAGAAACTCATCTTGATATCGTAAATAGCATACAGATGATATTTGGAGAAGCCATGGTCAGTTTGCACTCATGATGGCAATGAATTAGATGAATTAGATGGCTTCAATACATGCAACATCCATCAATAGTAGCCACTAAACAAGCAGTCAGAGCATGTTTGATAACCAAGTTGGGACAAAATCAACTATCCCTCAAAATAAAATTTGTTAAATACAGTCCCATGTCACGGAATTCAACAAGCAATGGATTTGTTTTACCCAAGAAGATTTTAAGGGAGAGGAGACCTGATTTGGGACATATAGTAGTTTATTGATTAAGAATTGGTGCAGAAGTCAATGTCTAAAATATCATCTAACCACCAAACTTCAAGATGTGTGTACCTTTTTCTAACAGTCCATAGATCCCTTTCTCTATAGTTGCTACATTTATTTTGATAATTGGTCATCATTAAAACTTGAGATGTCCTATATCAAGTTATCAACTAAGAATATAGCTAAAATACTCCATGAGGCTTGAGCAATCCTCATTCCTTCCCCCATGAGCTAGCTTTGGGGGTTGAATTGGTATCAAAGCCTCTATAGTCTTGATGTTAGTCTAGGCATGAGGGATATATGTTAAGATACCCACATTAACTAGGAATATAGCCAAGAATAGATACTCCTTATAACATTTGAGTGACCTCTCCTCATCCTTTGGGATTGAGCTAGGCCTGGTCCATTCTAATAGTGGCAACAAGGTAAATCTTTTTACACTAATGACATCTAGTGTTTATATTGAGTTGTTCATCAATCTTTGCCAACAAGGCATGCCAGTTCCTTAGTTTGTTGGTTAGATGTCCTCCATTATCGCCGAGTTCAATGCTCACTTGTTGGTAAAATTGCAGCTAAAGACCTACAACATGACAAGCTCTATACAATGTGTGCATTGGCTGTCGTGAGTCCCCATCTTCAATTCAAGACTAAATCCTTGGTAGTTCAACCATTACTACCTTGCAGGAAGTCTTTTGTCTACTTCATGAGACTTTGTTCCTTTACTAAGGTAATCTAGATAATAGCATTGCATTGGTCTCATCTCAATGTCTACATGGTCCTAAGGAATATGGTGGCAATCAAGATTGGGCACCATGTCATTGATGGAGACACACAAAGGACAAGTGGTATTAGTTACATGGTTGGCCACATCATGTTACCTAGTTCACATTGATGAGACTCAACAACAGAATTCTATACCTCTTATCGGCTCGCTATAGTGATACCTTCTCTCCAATTGCTAAAATGTCATATGTCTGTCTCTATCTTCCCATAGCAATTTGGTTTGCAAATTTCATTGACCTCTTTAAGGATTAAAACAGTCTCCCTGTCCATGGTTTTGAAAATTTAGTATGTTCTTCATGAACTTGGTAAGGTTCAATGTGAATAAAATCATACTATTTTTGTTAAGATGAGAGAAATCGAGAAGGCATATAATGAATTCCATGTGTTTCAACTACATCACAGGTTGTGTATTTATATTAACAAAGGCAATCAATCACAATCATAACTACATAATTAAAAACAAATAAATGTTACTTAATTATTATAATTACACAAATACTATTTCACTAAATAACATTTAACACTCCTCCACATGCTGGAGCATATAAATCATATGCATTGAGTTTCTCACATATGTACTTATTATGAGGACCTCTTACGAACATCCTGAATACATCTGCTAATTGATTATGTGAATTGACAAAGCTTGTAGTGATAACTACAGATAATATCTTTTCACAACGGAAGTGACAATTAATTTCAATATATTTCATTCATTCGTGAAAGACTTGATTTGAGGCAATGTAAGGCTGACTAGTTATCACAAATGAGTGTCATTTGTATATCTTCTCCAAATCTTACTTTTTAAACTAGTCATTTCAGCCATATAAGTTTACATGTGGCTGAAACCATAGCTTGACATTCTGCTTCTGCACTAAAAAAGGAAACCACATTTTGTTTCTTACTTTTTCAAGAAATCAGATTACCTCTAATAAAAACACAATAACCAAGAAATAGACTTCTTATCACGAGAGCTTGCATAACCTACATTAGAATAGCCAATAATCTTATCATGACCATTGTCCTTATACATGGGACTTTTTCCTGGAGCTCCTTCGATATACTTTAAGATGCGAATTAGTCCATCCCAATGTTCTTCACAAGAGAGTTGAGGAGCTAACTTACCACACTAAGAGCAAAAGAGATGTCAGGTCAAGTAATTGTTTGATAATTTAGCTTTTCAACAAATTTCCTATACTTTTCTGGGTCAACAAGAGGCTCCATCTTGGTAAAAGTTTAGAATTAGGATCCATAGAAGTATCTATAGATTTGGCTCTCATCAAACTTGTTTCTTCTAATACATCCAATACATACTTCCTTTGAAAAATTATAATACCATGCTTGGATTGTGCCACCTCTATTCCCAAGAAATACTGAAGTCTACCAAGGTCTTTTATTTGAAGATGGTAACATGAATGATTCTTCAATTGTGTAATGTCATAATGGTCACTACCAGTGATAACAATATCGTTTACATACACAATCACGTAAACGCATCCTATAACTAAATGGTGATAAAAGACCGAGTGATCAACTTCACTCATAATCATAACAAATTGTTGAACAATGACGCTAACTCTATCAAACCAAGCTCTTGGAGATTGTATAAGACTATACAAGGATTTCTGAAAACAACAAACTAATCCTGAAGACTCACCTTGAGCAACAAATTCAAAAGGTTGTTTAATATAAACTTCTTCAGCAAGGTTGCCAAGAAGGAATGTATTCTTTATCTCAAGTTGATGAAGATTCCAATGGCAGATGGTAACCATGGACAAGATCAAGCCATAGTAGTCAATAATGGCCATAGCGGTCATTTTCGCAAAGGAGCAGAGCAGAGTGGCAAGTTGCCACTATGAGGAGCTTGTAGCGTCGTGTTTCAATGGAGCAGCCATCGAGCCGCGAATAGCAGCCAAATCACGGGAGAATCACAGCCATAGCAGCCGCTATTTCATCCTTGGCCAAAACCTAATTTTGCCCTCCCTTTTTCAACGTTGGATGACTTTAAATGGGGATAATCTTGAAATTTCACCCCTTTTTTTTTACATTTTTTATCTCTTCTTCTTTGCGAGCCCTAAGTTTTCATTTTTATATCTCAGTTCCCTTGCAATTCTCTCTGGTTTATTCTTCCTATTTTTGTTCCTTGCAATATTCTCTTGCTTCCAGTGTCCATCTTTGGCAGGGCTTCTAACATGAGAGAGTTGTTCTCCGGTTATCTTCTTTATCTCCGACAAAGCTTCTGATCTTACTCAATTGCTATTCCAATCGTCTTCATCTCTAGTTGTCTTCTTCAACCCCAACGAAACTTCCGACATGACCTAGACATTTCCAATCATCTTCTTCATCTCTCACGAAACTTTTGACAAACCTGCACATTTTCCAATGATTGACCAATTTTTTGTTTTCTTATTTCCTTATCTGTTTTTTATTTCTTTCCCTGTACTTATTTTCTTACTCTATTTTTTATATTAATTTTATGTTAGGTATAATACTTATAACTTCAGAATATCGGTCATCCCGCTATCCGCTATGCCACTATAGCGTTGATGGAGTCGGCCGCTCCACGCCACTAGCTGTGATTAAAGACTATGGATCAAGCAAATAGAAGTCATTTAAGCTAGAGAATGTGTGACCATAATCCAAGCCAACGATTTAAGTATAACTTTTTGCTATAAGACGAGCTTTAAGACGACCCACTTGACCATTAGGACCAACTTTGACATTGTATATCCACTTGCAACCTACAACAAATTTACTTGAAGGAAGAGGAATGAGGTCCTAAATGCCATTGATGTGAAGCACACACATTTCATCAAGCATTGCTTGACACCAACCAGGGTGTGAGAGAACTTCTGTTGTATTCTTAGGAATAGAAATAGAGGACAAAGAAAAAAGACACATATATTGGAAAAAAGATAGACAACGATATAATATAGCAACATAATGAGAAGAGGGTGACGTATACCTTTTCAAAGTACAATAGTGAGATCAATGTCAAGTAATAGAGTCGGAGGAGGCACTTGTATTGAAGTCAGTGAAAGGTCACATGGTATGTCAATGGTGGTTGAAGAAGGAACTTGTGACCAACAATGGTACACCTGTAACAGACAAAGAGGAGGGTCATCTAGAGGAGGTTAGACCTCCGGTAGGTGAAAAACAATTGGAACTGGTGGAGAAGGCATGACAAACTCTATTCCTAATTCAGACACCGTAGAAGAACTAAAGAAAGGAATAACTCAAAAAAGTAATATCAACATAGATAAAATAATGCTTAAGAGTTGAAAAGTAACACTTATAATCATTATGAAAAGGATTATAACCAAGAAAAACACATTTGGTAGAACGCTTGTCATTACCTAAACTAAGCTTATGGACAAAACATGTCGACCCAAACAAATGAGGAGGTAAAGGATGCAAAGACTGTTTAGGAAATAAGATAGTGTGGTATCTGGTTATAGAGAACAAAAGAAGGCAACTGATTGATAAAGTAACATGCTGTCGATACAACATATCCCAAAAACAATGTGGAACACGACTATTTAAGAGTAAAGTGCAAGTAGTTTCAATAAGGTGTCTAAAAAATTAACATACACGGTTTCTGAAAAACAAAATTGACACCTATGAGCAGTTGGCACACAGTGAAAGCACGGATTAAAGTTACTTCCTTGTTAGACTCTGATATCATGTTAAGATGAGAGAAAACAAAAAGACATGTGATAAATTTCATGTATTTCAACTACACCATGGCTTATGTATTTATATTAACAAAAGTAATCATAATCATAATTATGTAATTAAGAATAAATATATGGTTACCTAATTATTATAATTACATGGATATTATTTCCCTATATAACATATCTACATATATTTAATAATTTTTTAAAGGCATGTACCTCAAGAACAATACATTTATCTGATTCAATGTGATATTGTTATAACAAAAACAATTAGGATGGCATTAATGTAACCACACTTATTCCATCACTTTCAAATACTTCAAAAGTGTTGAAGTTGCTATATCTGATTATCACATTCTCAAAGGATGTATGTGTAAAGGTATCTCCAATTAGCTAGGAATAGAGTCCAAATACTCCTTATAAGAGCTTGTGTAGTCTTTCTCCTGTGAGATAGTTTTTCAGAGTGAGTTAGGCCTTTCTTAACAGTATGCATTAGGGACATTTTTTGAGGATGCTAGCACGTTAAGCAATAGACCTGCATTCCTATGGACACCCTAGCACCAAGCTTATTCCAAGGGAATGAAAGCCTCTTGATGATCCCAAAAGGTATTGGTGACAAGTTGGTATATTGAATTATCTTATCATCGCTTGGCCAAACATCACATTTGTTGTTTCTATGATTAGCCAATTTCTTCAATTTACTTGTGATAATCAAGATAGTTAAAATTGGGATTTTACTTTAAATCATAAAGGGGAGTGAAAATTGTAAATTGTAAAATCATTAATCAAATCGAAAGATTTCACAAAATTCATATATATGCATATATTTTCATATTATGCATATAAAATAGCATAAATTAAGGGGGGAAATCTTTAATTCAGTAAAAACACTTAAATAAAGTAGCACTCACAAATCACAATCTATATTCCATAAAAAAGCCTTGCATCAGCATGAGTAAAAAATAGATTAGAACAGAAAAGATGCAAGAACAGCAGTACTAGACTCAAACTCATAGCAGTGCCACACACAACATTAGGAATCAAAGCTGCTAGAGGCAAATAGGGTTCGATGACAAAGAGATATGAAAGGTGTCAACTACATTAAGGTTCAAAAGAAGGATTTTCGAGGAATTTTCAGAATCAAAGTGAAATCACAAAATTCCACAATTTGAGGGATTTTGTGGGATTTAACGATTTCAATCAGGATTTTACGATTCAAATCGAGATTTTAACTACCATGGTGATACTCATTGGGATGTTGCCTTTCAAATTGAGGTATGTTAAGTGATCTCTTGACCAAAGCTTATGTATGAGAATAAGGATCACCCTCCCATGATCACTTATTCAAATGCTGATTAAGCTAGGCCCCCTATTGATACACATTCTATCATAGGATATTGTGTTGTTGTTAGAGGTAATATCATCTCTTGTCAAATTAAGAAACAAGAGGTTGTGACTAGATCTAGTCAATAGAGGTATTTTTTGGTTGTATCTTCATTAACTACATCAATACTAATGACCATTTAGCTAACATTTTCACTAAATCTCTTAAGGCTCCCTGTATTAGGCTACTTTGTAACAAGCCAGGTGCATATAATATATATGTTACAGCTTGAGGAAGAGTGTTAATGTATATGTTTTTGTCTTCAATAGCATATATGATTTTGAACACATTTCATTATTAGTAAGAACTTAGGAAATTTTAAACCCCAAATTCTGGTTTGTCTCCAATTTAACAGTTGTTTTGAATTATACAACACAAATACTGCAAGCAAAAGCGATGTTGATGCCAGTGCATGCCAGACACTGATGTTCAACACAAACATTTGAGTTCCTTTAGTAGTATGCTAAACAATCAACTTATACCATTAAGCAAGCTGGGCCAAAGTTGGGACAAAAAATACCTGATAAATGTCAAAAACCTTTCCAACTCCGTGGTATAGACATCAACAGCTTGCTCTAAGACAGCTATTTGTTCCCTTTTTCTATCAAATTATACCAACAAAGAGAAGAGAGTATTACAAAAAGTGCTCAACATTGTTAAAGATTACAAGAACAACACATCTTCAATGAAAGGAAAATAAAATGCCTCTCAATCTCTCTAAACACCAAGACTTCCCTCACAGCCTGTGTAACAGGCATCAAAAGGAAGCAACATGTATAGTTCTGTACCATGATAAAATAATCTTCAAACTCTTGATTTCTAGAACATCACTGAACCAAAATACCAAATAAAAGAAAACAATGAGATCCAATCCTCACCTTACCAATAGTAGAAAGTGTGTTAGAAGGTAAGTTAGAAAGTGTGTTTATAGTTATATAATTTCTTCAGTAGCTAAAACTGCTTCAATTAGCTATTGCTTACAACAGCAAGTTGGCATTGCTGGTGTTATATCAGCTAGGCTTTCAAAATGTCTTTTGTCAAGGTGAGAAATATACACGAGGGGCAACAATTTTGTTGCAAAGGGAGAGTTTAGCTAGGTTTGTAAATTAGACCAATCCTTTTATGGTTGAAGCATTCTCCACGAGCTTAATTTGGTATATGTTTATTATCTTCTTCAGGGATTTGGTATAACACACTGTTCAATTCAATTTTTTGTCAACATACTTCACTTAGTCAATGTATTTATATAGTAGTTTATATGGATGATAGAGTTATTACGGGTAATGACTATGAGGGAATATCATAGTTGAAGGAACACATGTTGAGTCAGTTGTAGACCAAAGATTCCAATAAACTCAAAATCAACCATAAAACCCAACATTAAACTACCAAGGATGCACAGTATCTCACAACTCCTTATATCGAGCCCATGATATTGAAAGGTAGAGTCGAATTGAAAGAATCATCAAGGTGAGGCTGTATAATGGTGGTCCATAGCGATGTCGTTGTTCCTCCATGGGCCTGGTAGAAGATAACAGTAATGATGACGACATGCAGATATGAAGAAACAAAATTTAAACAACATTGAGAAACAATAATTTCATACCCGTCATCATCATTTATCTGCCGAATAAAATCAAGCAATACCTACAACTCAAACAGAAAAATGTTTTAGAATATAAACAAATCATAAGAAAAAATAACCAGTACTTGAAGACAATAATCCATGACAAATATAGCCCAAATACAAACAAATTGATCAGAAATAGCAAGGTGATGATATCAGTCATGAATTAAGATGATCAGAAAAATCTGACAGATAGAGTAAGCCCCATAATTTGAAAACATTGAAATAAAGTTATGTGTAAGGTAAAAATAAAATAAATTGCATAAGCTGATTTAAGATGACCAAATTAGAGAATAGATGCCAGATAGGAAAAAGAATGGAAAAGAAAAAATAGGCCAGCACAGCCATGCGTTCACAATTTAAGATAGCCATACCTGAGGAACCCCAACCAGGTACTTCACAAGTGTTTTATAGACCCCTGTTGCAGAACCGAGCTGAGCTAATTGCCTTCTCCTGTGACCCATAAGTTGTTTAACATATTTCTCTAATAAATTTACGCAAAACAAACCAGACAAGGGTTGAGCTTCACCTGTCCATTTGTTGTTTCCAGAGAAGAGCATATCGATCATGTATGCTACCACCAGAATTTACCAAAGCATCAACCTCAGCTTGCTTATTCCTCTCTGAGCGTTCTCGTTGTTGTCTAAGGAGAGTTCCTCGAAAATCTTGAGGCAAATATGTCATAACTACATATAAATTTTGTTGAGTTAGAGAAGAAAGAGGAATGTTAGAATATAAGAAAAATATCAAAATATCCATCCAATAGTACATTGATTATAATTTAAGAGAGTTTAGAACGTCTTAGATTATCACTTTAAGATTAGTTTCCATATTCCCATACTATCTAAAAGTACTAGTTCCCATATTTCCTAATTATCTCATTATTTATTTCCTTATCTAGTTAGGATCTTTGAAGCGTGGTTCCCTCCTATATCTCAAGAGTGTGGGTATTTATAATGCTCTCAAGTAAGTCAGTTACATTTGTTTAGCAAAGAGAGATTTCTTAATCCCTACTTAAGTCTAGAGTAAAATGCACTAAACACCCTCGATGTTTTTTCTTTTTTTTTTGCTAATAACCACCCTCAATGTTTAGAGTATAACACTCCAGCACATTTTTCAACAATAATCACGCTCTACCATGAAGGATCTTTTTACTTGCTGGATACGACTTGTGTGGCCAAATACCAGCCAAAACAACACTATTAAAGAAAAACTAAATAAATGTAGGAAATGGAGTACAGGCAATGTCTTCTAATAGCTATTCCTCCTTCTCTTCATTGAGTTGATCATCACTCTCATTCACATTAACACTCAGATGGGCTGGAAGAGTGGGCAAGCAATCTTATGTGGTCACTTCATGATGGTCACGAGTGAAAGGTGGGTCACCCAAGATACTAGGATCTATTCAAAGATGTTCAACAATCCTCCTGAGCATGGAGGCATATGTTCAAAGGAGACAAATTCAATCTTGAACCTCCAATAGACCTCGTGCAAAATTTAAGCTAGGCCTCAATTGCTGATAGTAAATAAGATGCCCAATCAAGGCTTCATGCAAAATCATACAGAGATCTTGCTCACTAACAAAAAACAACTCTTGGGAGGTTTTTTGAAGCAAAGCCATCCTAGGAAATGGAGTATAGAGTAATACGTTTCAGTTGCAACTAATCTCCAACCAGGTTTGTGTTATGTGTTTCAGTTGTTGATTGTCAAGTTCAATTCAGTTAGTTAGCCGTCACATGACACCAGTATAAATATTATTGGATCTATTGTATTTTGCATGTGATTGGCATTACTTCAATTATAATGTTTCTGTTTTTCTCTCAATTTCTTTCATGTTCACAAACTTTAACATGGTATCAAAGAGCTCTATTGAATCCTAAAACTTGTTTCAATGGCTTCTACGTTGTCAAACTTACCTATCACATTTTCTCATATGGTTTCTATCAAGCTTGATGAGAAGAATTTTCTTGAACGGTTTCAACAAGTAGATGTTGTAATTCAAGGTCACAAATTGCAAAAGTTTGTTGCTAATCCAACACTTCATGTTCACTATCTTTTTGAGGATGATCGCAATAGTGATACCGTAAATCATAAATATCTTGAGTGGGATGAACAGAACTCATTGCTTCAATCATGGTTTCTTTCATCCCTTTTAAAGTCAATTCTAGCTCGTGTTGTTTGACATCATCACTCCTATCAAGTTTGGGACAAAATTCATAACCATTTCCATTCTATTATGCAAGCAAAATCAACCCAATTTCATTTGGAACTTCATACAATGAAGAAAAGGTCAAAGTCGATTATCGAGTTCATACTTCGTATCAAAACACTCACTGATTCATTGTGTTCAATTGGTGATCCAGTTTTAAGTTGCGATCACCTTGAGGCGATTCTTGGGGGTCTGTTTGAAGAATATGAAGCCTTTATCACCACCATCACTAGTCACTTGGAACCCCTCTCTGTTATAGAGATTGAGTCCTTTCTTGCTCAAGAAGCGTGTCTTGAACAAAACCAGGCCAATGTGCTTCAAGAATTGGTATCTGTCAACCTAGCTCAACACCTGTCACAATCTCAACAAGTTTCTCATCCTTCTTTGCTCATTACCACATCCACCTTTCCTAACCAAACTATTGATGTGTATGGCTTTCCAATTAGGACTTCTTGTTTCAGCAATTCCTCTCATGGTCGTGGCATCATGGTGGTTGTTTTCGCAATTGTGGTGGTGGTCATTTTGGTCAAGGTGGAGGTTTTGTTCAGTGTCAATTCTATCACAAAACGGGTCATGATGCTCCAATCTGTTTTCAAATATTTTTTATTGGTAGTACTTTACTCAGCCCAATTATGACCCTTCTAACTGATTTTGGCATCCTGAGAGACTTTCCTACCTCAATCATCATGTAGCCTTATACAATGCCATATCCTACTGGTTCTTCATTCTTTGGACATCCTATTGTGCATCCTTCTCCTCTCCCTCTCATGGAACTCCCAAAACCTCAATGCTAATTCAACTCCGCCAAGGCATTCATCTACAGCACCAACAATGTGCTTCTAACACAAACCCCATGCAAGCCTAGTATCCAGACTCAGGTGCTACACACCATGTAACTTCTGATCCACAGAATCTGATGTCCATACTCCTCTCAATGGTGGTGACCAAACTCTGATGGGCAATGGAGAAGGTTTTCCCATTTCTTCAATTGGTTCAGCATCATTTAAGTCTCCTCTACATTTTAAAACATTTTAAAACTTCACTTACTCTCAAAATTTTATTGTTAGTTCCTAATATTACCAAAAATCTAATCAGTGTCAGCAAGTTTGCACGAGATAACTCTATCTTTTTGGAGTTTCATCCCACTTACTGTGATGTTAAATCTCAAGGCTCCTGTGAAGTCTTTCTTAGTGGCACTCTTGGAGCTTATGGTTTGTACAGATTCTCAGATGTTAAATTGTCTCACCAGTTTCCCAAAGTTGCTGATTTGCATAAGACCAGCTATTGTATAAATACTTCTTCTGTACACAATGCTATTACACCTAGTATATGTGATGTTTCCATGTACAATGTAATGGTACCTAGCAACTACAAGTTTTGGCACTATAGGCTTGGGCATCTCATCATGAGGCTATGAAAAAAGTTTTTGAACTTTGTAACATCTAGCATACAAATAAAATAGCAAGTAATTTTTGTTCATCATGATGTTTAGGCAAGGCACATAGACTTCCCTCTTCTTTGTCCTTTATCACTTATTCTTCAGTACTTGAACTTGTGACAGTGATACTTGGGGACTTTCTCCAATGGATTCTACCCGTGGCTTTTTCTATTTTTTTAACAATTGTTGATGCACACACTCGATATTCATGGTTATATCTATTGAAAGAGAAGTTTGATTCCCTCGACAGTCTTTAAAGAGTTTAAAACAATGGCTGATTTACAGTTAGGGTCTTCTCTTAAGTAACAAAGCTCGTTATCAATTCAAAATAAGCATTCAAGTCAAAGGCAAGGAGGTACCTGTATTAAATACATGTTCAGCATTTTTAATTTGGAAAGACTCCAAAGCCTTCAATGTATTATGAAGTTTATCTTTCAGCTTCCCAAGCACAATGGAAATTTCAACACTGTCAGGTGTGGACTGCTGCTTTAGCTGCATCCAGAAATTAGTTCTTTTAACTTTCAATTGTTTTGTACGAACTTCATACAAACTACATAAAGTTAAAAAAAGTGTCAGAATGAGAATGTTGAAGGGAAATCATGAAGTTGCCAAGTTCTGTATTCATGAGTTATAAAATAATGCATTAGTAAAGACAAGGAAAATGAATTTAAAAAATACAAATTACCGCCTCTGGCCAATTAGAACTTTCAAGTAAGAAAATAGTTTCTTCAATGTACTCTCGATTCTTCCACATGTTCTCATCAATTTTATGTGGAGGTTGCCGGTCAGCTTCATTTATTAATATGCTTTCTCCTGGAATGACATCAACTTCCAAATAAAATTCTAAAGCAAAATATTTGGACTCAAAGACAAAACAGTTAAAGAAGAAGGTGCAGACACCATATACAAGTATTTTGGTTTAATTTTACTTTTAGCTTGAAAATCCATGTTAGTTATTTTATGTATCTCCAGGGAGCTGTTTGGTGAGCAGCAGTGCAACGTTTACATTATGCTAGATGCATACGAGAATGTTCAGAATTATCGATGTTTAAATCTCTTAATGCACACTTTGAATAAGATAATCCCTTAAAACCAAGATATCAAAATACAAATTTCATATCCAGGGAGTATTATTTCACAACATCATAGCTTCCCAGGAAGTTTCCAACAATGTAAGATCCCATATTCTCCTGCAACCTAAGCAGAAATCCTTGCAAGCAGACAAAACACTGAACTGTGACATATAGTGAGAAGCGTCCCAAACAAAAGAACTATTCAGGCACAAAGGCAGAGAAGTAAATGCAGGCAAACATTTTGGGTGATTCGGGATCAGCGACTGCGAGTAATGAAGCACGTAATACATATAAATAAAAATGGAAAGAAAGAAACCTTCGATAGGTGGATGTTGATGGAGCAAATCACTGACGATAGAACGAATCTCAGAAGAAAGGCGAGTTACATCCGCAGAAAGAGGAGTAAAAGAGTGTTTGTCGTAATAAGACGCCAGAAAGGCCCTAGTGATGGGCACCAGACCCTCTGTAGAAGCCATCGGAATCGGATGATCTGATGAATCAGATCAGATCAGCCCGTCTCTCCCTTTCTTCTATTCGCACTTAACTTTTATTCCTTTGGAATATTCTATTCTGTTTACTCCTAAGGTCCTAGGCAAAGTCGGCGGCCGTATAGAACTGCGACTGTCAACGGTACATGGCTAGGCCTGCCCACCACAACAAATCCGCTTTTACTATTCCTTTTTCTCAGTCAAACTGAAACGTCCAAGTAAGGCTTTATTAGAAATTTAGAATTACACGATTCCTTAAATCAAATTTTATTATTTTATTATATTTTGCATACACATGTTAAAAAATTCATTAAAATCTAATATTTAATTAAACGTTTGTTTATCTAAATACTTTAAAATTAAATTAAACAATAAACCACATGCATATTTTATTTTGAAATAACTACGTATACAATTTAATGATTAAAAAAATATATTTATATAACAATTAAATGCATAAAATGAGTTTAAATATTTTAATTTCTGTAAAAACTATTTTAAATACTTTATATGTATATATTTTTTAATTTTAAAATAAAAATTTTATTTTATCGTAAATAACTATAGGATAATTTTCTTTATAGAAATTATATGGAAAAAATAATACAAATATTATTTTATTATAATTTAAAAAATTTACAATATAAAATTATACCCATTAATTCATATGATTTTTATGTTAAATTACAATTTTAATATATTATTACACATATTCTCATATCCTCTGCAATTTTGGAAGGAATTGCAACCTGTAGTTTAAATTTGCTTAAGCGAATTTGATAAAATATAATTTTTGTTTAAACTAACAAAATTCACTTAAGCGAATTTAGTAAATAAATAATTTTTATTTAAGCCAAAAAATTTGCTTAAACCAAAATTATAAAATATTTTCAAAACTTTATTTTTTTCCTTTCTAATTCAAAAATATTTGTACAAGATCGTATGATCACACTTTATGTAATAATGTAACAAAAGTTCAAGTGTTTCAAAATATGTAATAATACAACTATTTCCCAACCAATTTCTCAAAATTATCATTCCTATAATCTTTATTATCATTCTCAATCAATTTCTCAAAAGCTTGCAGTTTAAATTCGCTTAAGCGAATTTGGCAAAAAGTAAATTTTCACTTAAGCGAATTTAGTAAATAAATAATTTTTGCTTAAGCTAAAAAATTTACTTGAGCTAAAATTGTTAAAAAAAAATTTAAAATTATATCTTCTTCCTCTCTAAACTACAGAAAAGTTCAGAAATATTTGTATAAGATTATGTGATCATACTTTATGTAATAATGCAACAAAAACTTAAATATTTCAAAATATGTAATAATACAACTATTTCTCAAAATTATCATTCCTATAATCCTTATTATCATTCTCAACAATTTAACTTGATTCCAAATAGTTCTATCTTACTAATGTTTAGCACAAGTAATACTCTCACTAATACATTTAGAATATTTAGTGAGACGATATATGTAAGGGTCTTTGATAACTAAGTAGTCATTAATAAGAAATAAAGATTTATCTAGTGTGCAGCATCAAATAGAGTCATTTCAGCTACAACTTGAAACTTTATAATTGTACCATAGCTCAGCAAGGATAAATATTGATACCACCTCTTAGGAACCTCACCAGATAGATAGACATATCAAATAACCTTCCAGGGCTTTATTGAGAGCTTCAGATTGTCCATTTATTTATGGATGAAAGGTTGTTGACCTTAACAACTGAACACCATGCCTTTTATATTTAAGAACTTTGATGTAATTGAATTAGCCCTGTAACAGTCATTTGATGTAAACTTGTAATCCCTTATTATTTTGAAATACTTTAATGAGACCATGCGCTGGAAAATATTTTAAATGAAAATTTTATTATTCCCATTTTTGAGAAAACTATTTATTAAAATTAAGGTGTTACACTACCAATCCACAGTCTTCAATTTCCCCTCTAATTCTTGTATTCCTGGAGATAGTTGCTCACCTTGTAAAATGACCTGTCTTCCAGCATGCTCAAACCTCATTGTCAATTTTGCACAGTTCTAGCGTATCTCCCATAGGAGCCATTACATGCCTAAAATCACACCATAATTTGATCCAGGTAAAACCGAAAAGTCTACTACAAACACATGGTCATTAAACCTTTATTCAAATTGGTCACACCTTTTGGTAATTGATCAATTGGATTTTTATAACATTATTTTCTCTAATTCCTAGCTCATTAATCCTCTTTTGTGCCTAATTGGTTGAATTGGATCATTTTATGATGTTTGAATTTTATTTGGGCTTTATTTAATTTTTCCAGTATTTGGCAAATTCTGATACTGTTTTGGTTTTTGGACCATATCTTGAGTTGTAGAACTCCTTTAATTGTGATTCTTGATTTGTAGGAAATCTAAGAGAAAGGTGCACAATTCCTATGAAGAGGTTAGAAACCAATTCCGATGATAAGAAGCTGAAACTGGGCCTGAAAAAAGTCAAAACGCTGCAGTCGTGGATCCTGAGTAAGGTCCAGTATTTGGGCCATATCTCAGTCCACAGATGTCCGATTAAGCCCATTCCAATGGCATTTTGAAGCTAACATCCAAGGATACAATTCTCCTTCAGGCCACGAACCAAAAAGAGGCTGTTTTCATAGCCGAAAAAAAGGAACAAAGTGACGAATAGAAATTTTGAATTTTGAATTTTGAATTTGAAGTTATTTTTGGCTCCTCTCTTTTCTTCTTCCTCTCTTCTCTCTCTGTTTTCATTTTTTTCTCACCTTTCATGAATTGTTTCCCTCCATTCATGGAGGCTTAGATTCGCATCTGATTCAAGGATTAAAAGAGACGTGACACTCTTGAGGATTGATTGATCGCACATTGGCATAAATTCAATAACAATTTCGGGTTTCATCTATTCCTTATTCTCTCCCTTTTGCTAATTATATTTTCGAATTGAAGTTATTCGTTTGGATTGATGATTATGCATGTGGTTGATTACGTATTATTCGATTGATGTATGTAATTGAGTTTTAAGGAACATGAATTGAATTTTCAGGTTTGAAAACTACGATTAACGGCATTGGTAAATTAAATTGGCACAATTCAATTAGGTTCTAGAGTTTTCTGAATTTTAATTAATTATGTGCTAATCGAATGCATGAAGGTCTTCATGTGAATGCTGAGTTCGAATTGAGGTTTCATTCGGATTCATTGTTAATTACCGAATTGTTTGTTGATATACTCTCTTAAAAATCCGATGATAGAGTAGTCATTTTTCTTCTTAATTCTTGGATTGGAATTTTAATTTCTGTTCACTCTTTATTCTAATTATAATTAAGTGCATTTTTGTTTCCTTTACAAACAAACCCCACCCGTCTTATACACTCTCCAAATAGATTAATTTGTCATTGTGATTCTTTGAGAAACGACCCTAGTTACTTACCCCGTACTATAGTAATTAGGTTTATTTTGACCCGTGTACGACCCTGTGTCAGTAATTACAATTTGTTTCTCATTGGCCACTACTATAAGAAAATATTTGATGAATTGTATCTTGAGTTCCAATTACTTTACTCATTTGTCACTTAGGAAATTGTGAGTTCTACCGGTGTCCATTAAAAATAGCACTTCTTGCTTCTTAATCAACCCCTTCAGTTATAAGGTATGTCTACCAACAATACCTGACAAAGCATGCAATGAAATATGCACATGTTCATCATTTATTAGTGCTAAACTCCTATCTAACATCATGTCAGTATTGTCTAATTCCTCTTTATCCACCTCATCAATTTATGAATCTTCTTATGCCGTAAATATAACAATTTATTTGCCCTAGACTTTGCATTTCTGCCTATGATTCTTGTCCCAATTTTCCCACAAAATCTACAAAACATTTGGCAATATGTTCACTAGCCTCTTTTCTACTAGGAGAACTAGCAATACTTAACTTAGGATCACTTTTAGTTGTGGTCTTGGAAGAAGTCTAACTCTGCAAACTCATTATAGGTTGGCTCCTTTGAATCATAAATTGTGTGGACCACGACTTATTATAACAGTTTTATGCTTCAGCAGGTCCTGATTTACCCACTGACAATTTCTTTTTAAGTTCTTTGAGTACCTCTTTTTGCAATCTTGTCAGGCACACAACTTCTTGGATTATTTTGGGATTATGAACACACACAGATATTTCCAATTGGACTTCCAATTTGGCAAGAACAAAACTAATGGCCATGTCTTCACTCACAACTATACGAGCCAAAAGTTTATTAAAATGTTCTAAATAATCAACCAAGTTACCTTCTTACTTCAATCTTGATAATTCTGTAACTGGGTCATCATAAACCCTATCATCAAAATGATTTCCCACAATAGCAATGATTTGATGCCATTATTTGTCTTTAAACCTAGAATTCTGTATATAGTAACGTTGCCAAGAAAAGGCCTTTCCATCCATGCATAGGAGTATAAGTTTGCCCTGGTTCGCTTTTGGTGTACTTTCCAACTCAAAGAACTGCTTTGCCTCTGCCCTCCAATCCAAAAATTAGAACCATCAAATGAGAGAAATGGAATTTGATCTCATTCTACAATTGTGTTCTCGAATACCAACGTCTCGTTTTTAACATCATCACCCAACTTCTTTTTTCCTTTTAGTATGTATTGAAGCCATAAGATTTTTGATTAATTTTTGCATGTTCGCGAACCCTAATTATGTTTGTTACTGATAATCTACAACCACCTTCTCTAAATCATCCATGCATGCTTTTCAAGGTCTTTGTTCATCACAAATCTTACCATCGTTGTTAAGCTTTGATACCAATTGTCAATGAAGAAACTATCGTTCTCCTTCAACACACTCACTATTTCTCTCTCACAAGACAGAAGAGGAAACTCAAGAAATCATGATATTATTGATTGGTTATTATTTGTTTATAAAATGGTCTTATTTATAACCCTCAACTCACAAAACTAACTTTTCCTCCAAACTTAACTACTTCTTAAGCCACATAACTATTTTAACAGTTTCATGAATGGCTTATTCCTATTTTCTTAATTTTGCGATTAAATCCTTCCTATTAATGAACTATTACATGTTGTGATTCTAGTTTGACTTTAATAAAAGATATCCTTAATTATATGTTGATTGGTATGAATTGTATAT